GCACACCTTTAATCCCAGCACTTGGGAGGCAGAGGCAGGCGGATCTCTGTGAGTTCAAGGCCAGATTGGTCTACATAGTGAGTTCCAGGCCAGCTGGGGCTACAAGGAGACCCTGTCTCAAAAACACCAAACAAAACAAAACAAAAAAAAACATTCTTTTTTAAAAAGTATACTGTGTTTATTATTTTATATTATGTGTATGAGTGTATTGCCTGCATGTATGTGAGTGCACCCATGTCGTGCAATGCCGCGGAGGTCAGAAGAGGGTGTCAGATTCCCCTGGAACTGGAGTTAAGGACGGTTTGTAGCCGCCACATGGGTGCTGGGAATCGAACCCAGGTCCTCTGCAAGAGCAGTCAGTGCTCTTAACTGCTGAGCCATCTCTCCAGCCCCATATGTCAATTTCTTAAAAATGCTTAGTTGACATGGTTTGCCTATGCATATGGTTGTGTGTGTGTGTGTGTGTCTGTCTGTCTGTCTGTCTGTCTGTTTTGACATAGGGAAGGGACTAGCACCTTGACCCAAGCTGAAACACTCAGAATCTGTCATTTCATCTTTTTTTGTTTGCATTTTCATAGCCACCTTCTGGTCTTAATCCCCCACTAGAGGGCACATGTATCCCTCAGAGAGGGTCTGTGGTCCAAATGCTTGTCAATGGATCCTTGAAGCCACCTTCTTGAGCTCTGTGCCCTCTGCACCCCCCCTTGCAAACACAAACAAATCCAAAACAGTCTTTTTCCTCTCCAGCTGGGCTGCTGGCTGTCATCGTCTCCCCGGGGTCCTGCCCTTAGTGGAAGGAGGCAACAGAGTGACAAGTGGCAGTGTCTGTGAGCGACAGCCTTGTTTGTCATCCCTGCCAGGCGCCGCCATGTCCTCTCTCAGGGGTACTGATGGATCCTAAGGAGGCAGCTCTCCTCTCTCTCCTCAGCTGGCATCCAAGGACTTAAAAGATCCCCTGGTCTGGTCTGCCTTTGATTGACATGAACCTGAAGCGAGGACAGTAGGAATGACCCTGGCAACCCTGGGCCACCTGCAAAGGCAGGGCAGGCGGCTCCACAGCACCTCTCCTTGTGCCCTTGTAGGTAGGTCGCACCTTGAGTTTCTTCCAAATTGCCATCTCCAGCCTAAGCTTTGGCATCAGGTTCCCAGGCGCTGGTCATGGCCTCACTGCTAGCTGTGACCTTGAGCAAATTCTGTGAACTTTGCTTTCCTAACTGGACAAATGAGGATAACAGCAGTTTCAGCCTCATAAATGAGGCAGTGCTTGTAAATAAAGCACTGGGCACAGTACCTAGCATATAATGTTTGATCCTCATTAGCCATTATTAATGGTATTATTAATGCCATTAGCATTATGTTAATGTAAGCCTCTACATAGCCACCTGCCCCAGGCTTTACTTTGTCAAGTCTCAGGCCAGCACCTCTGCCATAGTCCTGTCTCAGGACTGTTCTGTACACATGTACACCACACACACTTGGGATGGTTGGGTTCTCCCCAAAGCCACATCTGTACTTCAGGGTGACACGGGACAGCAGCAGCTGCTCCAGCTGTGTACAGCTGTGTCCCCGCTCCTCTGTGCCTCCTTGTTAGTTCTCCGGTCATGTTCCAATCTCCAGGAGAGCCTGACAGCAACCCTGAGTGTCAGCCACAGAAGAGGCAGACAGCGGCACCTCCCTGCTCCAGGCTGCTGCCCTTGGCCACCCTGCAGCTCTGAGTCGTCTTCTCTCTGTCACTCAGGCTCTCACCAGCAGACAGATTAGCACTGAGACGGAGGAACTACATCAAGGCAAGCAGCGCCTGTCTTCTTCCACAGCTGACATTGCTTAGGGAAGCAAAGCCAGTGGTGGGGGTGTCTAGGCTGAGACGGAGCTCCGGACACAGAGAGACCCTTGCTAGGAGATCGCCCCCCCCACCTCTGCCCACCACCACTTCCCCTGCCCTCCGGCCTCCCCTCTTTGCCCATTACCCAGCTGTAGTGAATAAGGAGAGACAGGGTAGGGAGTATCATGGGGTGAGGAAAGGAAAATTGTGTCATGGACCTGCCACTGTGGTCATCTACAGTCCACAGACTCTCATACCTGGAACACTCACTCTCTAGGTGTGCTAAGCACATTCCACATCATCTAACCCTCACAGCAACACTGAGGTAGGTATCTCTATCCCCGCCTTATAGATGAGGGAACCGAGGCACAAAGACCCACAGAACCTACCCAAGGTCACCAGGGGAAGAAGTAGTGGAACTAAGACTCATCCAGGTGCTCTGGCTCAGGCTCCTTTGCTCTTAGGTCCCTGGCTGTTCCCCATCAGAGCCAGCACCTGGCCCCAGCAGTGACCCAGATCTTCAGCCCCCGTTATCCTTAGCTTCCTTCCTACAAAGCACCTGCTGTCATTGCCAAACAGTGGCTACTTCTAAGGAAATGGGAAAGGAAAGGACTCTGCCTCTGTGGGCACAGTGTCATGGACAGAATCTAAGTGTCTTCCCCTTGATAAAAGGCCCACTCTTGACCTTATGATGAGAATCAATGGGCTGAGAAAGGGCATCTGGGTACCATGAGCCTCCAGTAGAGGAGTTCCAGGCTGAGAGAGGGAACTTTCTGCAGCAAGAGCTGAAAATGTGCAGATTGTGTAGAGGGCCCAGGGGTGGGAGAGGCCCTGGGAATAAGCCGAGCGTGGGCAGGGTGTGCGGGGAAGGTGTAAACACAGTCTGCTCCCACCAAAGCCAGCCTGCTCCCTGGGGGAGAAAGCCCCCCCCCTCCCAGCCCACATGGCACCCCAGCTGCTAGAGCCCAGGCGGCTGCATCCCCCCACTGCTGGCAGCCCCTTCCTGTCCCTTCCCTGCCCTTCGTCTGGAATGGATCCTTGGAGGAGGTTCACAGAACAGTGCTGCAAAGAGGTGCTGTCCTGTGGAAGTGCGTCTGGGCGGGGAGCCAACCCTGGTCCTGCTCTGTGACCTTGGCCTGACAATTTCTTGGATCTTTGGAAGGAGGCAGGCAACTTGGAAGTGGCAGGAAAGAGGGGTGAGGTAACAGGAACGCAGTGACTAAATTACAGACTAAAGATGGGATCACAGAACACAGACGGGGTCCCCAGGAACAGTGCCCTCTGGCCCTCAGCCTGGCAGTCCAGGAAGACCCATGCCTCCCAGGAGACAGACAGGCTGACAGAAGCTAAGACAGGTGGTCATGGACTCATGGCCAGAGTCAGGTGAGCATTCTGGCAGGTTCTTTCCCCTGGTCCGACCTTCCCTGCCCTCCTCCCTGTCCTACTTTGAGAAGCTCCCCACGGAACCTCCTGTGCACACCCCCCAACCCTGCAGTACCAGAAGCCCCTCCCCAGCAAGTAGAGCCCCCCACTCCCCCGGCAATGGGTTCCTTCGGATGTCGCATCTGTCACCCTTTCCCTCCCTCACACCACAGATGTGGAGCAGTGTTGGGATGCCACTGTCTAGAGAACTCTGTCTCCTGCTGCTTCAAAGTCAAGGGCAGGGGTTGGCCAGACAGGGGCATCACTTCTGGCCTGAGAGGGGGGGGCTAGATGGGGAGGAGAGATGCATGTGCGTAGTGAGGGGGCGGCTTTTGAAGATTAATAGTTCTGAGACAGTCGGGAGCAGCCGCCTGCAGGGTCTGAGCCTGAATCTGGGAGCAGAAGCGGAAATCTGCTCAGGATCAGGCAGGACTGTAAAGGGAGAAATGGCAGAGCAGCTGGGGACAAGGGAGGCCGCTGAGTTACTGAGCAGTCAGCACGCTGACAAAAACAAGTGTCATGCTTTTCTCTTCCCACACGCCACTGCCCGTTTAGAACACACGGAACACACTCGCTCGCACACACAGACACAAAGCACCCTCACAGCACAAGCTGGTGCTTGCTTCCAGCCAGCTCCAGACAGACATGCCACAGATGCAGCTGGCCTTTCTTACTGATAATTTCAGCAGAATGGCCAATGACAGAATGAGTTCTAGGGACTGAAGAGAGGCAGATGCCATCGGAAGCGAGTGCCACCATAGCAAAACACAGACCCAGCTCTAGAACACAAGGGGTTTAACAGAATAGCTGGCAGAGACAGGTGGGCAAGCGGCTACAAACTTGGGTAGGCAGTGAACCTTGAAAGCTCCCCACTTAACAGCTTCTCTTCGTGTTTTCCCATTTATAGGATATGGATAGTAGTATACAGTCTCTGTGGGTCATGGTAAGGATTGGAGAAGAAAAGGGAGAGCCCTTGATGACTAAACCCAAGCTATCATTTGTCTGTCCTTTGATTCTGGAGTCTTCTTGCTCTTGGCTTGCATCTGCCTCTTGTCTGAGATGCTGGGGTGCCCTAGAGTTACCCTGGTGGATCCTAGGAAGCCTTTTCTCCAGCTCTATGGTCCCTCAGAGCAGGAACTCAGAAAGGAGGAAGCCCAAGGGCAACAAGTATCTCCGTTCTTCCTCTGGCCCCAAGCAGGCCTTGCTCGGGAGCCCCACAATCAGGGCCTGTCCAGGGACCAAAGAAGAGCCTACCATCTCCACTGCAGCCTCCCATTCTCCCCCCCCCTCATGTTGCTTCTAGCCCCACAGCATCCTCCTAGGCTAGGGGTGAACCAGGACTTGAGCTAGAACAGAAAGCCAAAACAGACTAGCACTTTCTCCCATCCCAAAGATAGGATGCCTATTTCAGGATGGATCTCCCAGAGAACACCCTCTACCCTAAAAGATCTCAGCACTGCCCTCAGCCCCGGCATAGCTACCATCTCACCCTTAAGCCTAGAAAAGGTGGTTAGGACCACACCTGCTTCTCTTCAAACCAGCTCTTGCCCTGTGGCCTGGAGTGTAAGTAGCAGACTCAAGATAGGAGCTCAATGAAGAACTTACCCTCATATTCAACCTCCATCAAGTGACCACAGAGCTAAAGGTTGTCTCCTGCGCCCCTGTGTGGCTGAACCTTAATCCCCAGCCCTGCCCTCTTCTTGTCCTGCCCTACCTGTCTGGACCAGCAGATCCCAGTCCCTGATGCTGAACCATCTCAAGAGGTGTGGGTCAACCTCACAGGCTCTTTCTCCCTAAATGGAGGGAAACACTGAAATCAGAGGGTCGAAGGGGATACACTTGTCATGTTCCTCTTCCTTTGACTCCCATACCTAGCTGTCGTCCCTGTGCAGTCCCAGACAGCCTGGGACAACTTCCATCAGCCATGGTTCCTTGCTGTCAGACCAATTTTTCCAGGCAACTGGGTCACAAGGAGTTAATAAGCAACTGCTTCCCTCTGGCCAAGTCACACCAGACTAGTCTGGGCCAGATGGTCCCCAGATTTGGCTTTTTCTCTCTTGACAGGAGGTTCAGGCCCATTTTATATAGACAAGACAGCTACCTGGGAGTCAGACAACCCCCGTTCACATTGACTGAGGCTTCACGGCAGCCTCACAGCCACTGTTATCCGCTTGAGCTTTTGAAAAATAAAATGATTTATGTAAATTGTCCAAAGCCTCCCAGTAAGGGGGAACCAGGATTTAAACTTTGGCTACCCAGCAACTCCACACCCAAACAGTGGTGAGAGCTAAACGATAAATGAGGGCCTCCTATGGAAGATGAATGTGACAGATGTGTAATTAGTAATGGTAACGGGATGATGGTGACCTCAGCTAGCCACAGAGGTAGGAAAGGTCTCATAGAAATGCCTGTTTGACGTAGGTGTGCTGGGCTTCCCACTGAATCTTAATAGAGGTCTGAATATGGGAGACTCTCGGGACTGGAAGATAGAGCCAGACTTAAGTTCTCTTTGTGGCCAGTTTCCATGTATCTAAGAGTCACAGTGCAGGTGGGTTTCCCGGCCCAGAAAGAGACAAGTGTCACAGGCATGCATACTGACCCTTCCATATGGCTGAGAACACCCTCCTGCCTGTGGGCCCTGAACCCCAAAGCCTACAGAAGACCCTTTTTGTTCCTTGTCTTCACTAGGAATGAGAGTTGCTTTTCAGACAGGTCTCTGTGCTAAGGGGGGGGTTTCCATAAGTACCAACAGACGGTCTTACAAGTAGGTATAAGTAAATATTGCTTTACATTTTTAATGTTTTGGAGGGCATAGTAGCTCCTTATTATCAAAGGACATTGGCCAGCCTGGGAAGGAAAAGTCTAGAACTCACAACTTTGCGCCCCCCCCCAAGACCACATGGCTTCAACCTAGGGAAGAGTTAACTTTCTGGCCACAGGAGACAGCGTCCTGCCCGCAGGGTCTGCCCAGCCAATGGCACTCGACGCTGATGATGTCATGCGCCTCCTGCACCTTCTATTGGGGACTGGACAGCGAATCCTACTGGAGGTTCAAGCAGCCAGAGCTGCTGAGCTGGTTGGGGGGCAGAGGAAGGAGGAGAGGGAGGGAAGAACACAGACAGGGAGTGCAAAGCAACACGGAGCTGCTCCTGCCTCCTCCCTCTGCTCCCCGGTTCCCTCAACGGAAGGTCCTCCTGGGACTGCCCCACACTCATGAAGCTAGGCAGCACAGCGTAGGTCCAGAAGAGGGGGCTGGAGGACTGCCACTCCCTCCTAGCTTGCCCACCGTACAAGGAGGCAAGGGCCAGGACATGGCACACACACACACACACACAGACACACACACAGACACGCACACACACACATACACCACACACCACACACCACAAACACACACATAATCACATACAGCAACAGCCTCCTTGGCAGCACCCTCCCTCCCCCACCCCTCTCCTGCATCACCTGCCAGAAGACTGAAGGTCTGTATTGGAGTTGTTCCCCATAACTGCCCCATCCACTCCACTGGGCTCTCTGTGGAAGGGAAGAGCAGGCAGGAAGAGCTGTAGGCAGTGCCCAGCCTCAGACTCCCCTCCCCACAGCCCAGCCATAAAGGGCAAAGGAGGCAGGTGGCTGCAACCTAGCACCTTCTGTGCAAGCCTTCCTTCAAATCCCCTCCCAGACCACCCAGAGGTCCAGGCAGCCCCCATCCACCTTCAGCTTGACTGTAACCCACCCTGTAGTTTCCTCCACCCCAAATCCCAATCCATAGCCCTGTCAGTTTCTCACGGTTCAACTCGGTTGGCAAATCTGCGGCACCAGAGCGTGGCCAAGCCAAGAAGAAACAGAGTGGTGCACATGGCTCAGCTGCCCCATCCCCCGCAGACCAAGTCTGCAGAAGGCCGCAGGCCAGGAGCCACAGCAGCCTGGCCACCTCTCACAAGCCACTGCTGTTTCTCCTGAGGCTCCTGCTGGAGATGGATTAGGAGGTTCAAGCTGATTAGTGGGGTCAGCAGGCCTGACCTTGTGAAGAGTAATTAACCTCATCAAGCCCAAGTTCTCCTCCCCTTCAAGGCATGCATGGTGGCCCTGAGCGCCCTGAGCACCTGTCTGGAATGTAGAGCTGATGCCGCCTGGGCCTTAGCCTCAACAGCCAAACAACGTCTGGGCCTTGCTAAAGGCACCTGTGGAGCACTTTGGGCATCGTAAGCATCAGGGAAAGCTTCAAAGAGGAGCAGGGGCCGGGCCTGATGGCCACCGCCTCGAGCTGCTGGAGGCATCTGAACTTGCAGGTGCTGGAGAACAGGCCCTCAGCAGACTGCCAGGGCTGGGGTAAAAGCATGCAGCATTTTTCAGTGACTGAGGTTGGGAGGCAGTGGAGCCATGCCGCAGAGTGGAGGCATCCAGAGAGCGGAGGGGAAGAAGAGTGGATGATGAAGCCAAAAGACAGCGAGCCCACAAGATTGGTTCCCTGGCGCCTTCCCAGTAGCCGGCTGAACTTTCTCCATCCCGCTCCCTCATCAGTAAAAGTCAGAGTTGAGGTATGCACTCACAGAACAGATATGAACTATAAATTCTATCTTATATAACTATCTTATATAATTTAGATATAAATTATAAGTATCAATTATGTACTGGATTGCCGTACAAATATATTTCTACATTATAAGTCATAAAAATTGAGGGAAAGCCGGGCGAGGTGGCGCACGCCTTTAATCCCAGCACTCAGGAGGCAGAGGCAGGCAGATCTCTGTGAGTTCAAGGCCAGCCTGGTCTACATAGTGAGTTCCAGGACAGCTGGAGCTACAGGGAGACCGTCTCAACAAGACCAAAAATAAATAAATAAATAATAAATAAATAAATAAATAAATAAAAATTTAAAAATTGAGGGAAAAGACAAAAATCAATAGAAATAGTCTTTCCACATCTGATATGGATCTTCTGGGCTTGGGGAGGTTTCTGTACCAGCTATGAGGAACAATCAGAAGGGCTCAGGGTAGGCAGAGCAGGAGCCAGCCATGGTAGGGCTGGGACACAGACTAGGAGTGACATTAGAACTTGAACCCACACTGTCCTCCACCCCATCCAAGACCCACAGAAAACGTTCAATTTTCCCTCCCTAACCAAGATGGAAGGTAGTGTTGGAGGCCTCCTGCACAGGAGTTCCATCAGATGCCCCGACACTAAGCTGCAGGCAGGGCCCCGCTAGGCCTCTGGAGGTCCCCACTGTTCTCTATTAGAATCTTGAAACCAAATTTTTAAGTTGTGTATGTATGTGTGTGTGTGTGTGTGTGTGTGTGTACGGAGGTCAGAGGATAACTTTCGGGAGTTGATTCTCTCCTTCCACCATGTAAGTCCCAAGGACCAGACTCAAGTTGTCAGGCTTGGTGGGACTCACCTTCACCTGCTGTTTACCCCAGGCCTGAAAGCAGATTTTAAATCAACAGGAACCAAAGCTAAAAAGGACCCCCTGGCACTTAGGCAGTGGGACTCCAGGTCTTCAGCAGCATAAGGGTGGACAGGGAGCCTTAGGAAGATCCAGAGACAGGCCATGTGTACTAGGGCATCTGTGTTAGACACTGCAGGCCCTCTGTAGCCTCAGGCTTCCTTCCCCTGGTTATGCCCAGGACTGGCCAGCTTCTTGCAGGATGGGGCCTCAAGGGTCTCTCAAGAGAGGGTAGCCTCTACCTCTGGCCCAGTCTCTCATCTCCCTGACCAGTCCACCAGGATGCGGGATTTCCCATCCCCCAAGTTGTATCCTTGAGGGTGACAGAGATATATCCACTGTCCTGTGACTTCCTCAAGAGTTCTAGCTCCCCACATCCTGTCTGTCACACCTGACTGCCTCCCTCTGGGACTTTAGTCTGCCAAAGGCCATGGCCAGAATTCAGGACAGTGTCTGGTTCTTGCCTGCCTGTCATTAATTAGCCTCCCAGGACTCATTTCCACTGATTGTGCACCCAGAGTGGTGTTGATGGGCAGGACAGGAGGGCCACAGACTGGACATGTGCCCAAGTTCAGAGAGTCAGCTGGTGCGCCAGCCGACCCCAACCCCTAAACCTGTCAGAGCCTGGGGGTTTCCCGGCTGGGAATGGTGACAGGCTCAGGAGCTGCCATGCTCCAAGGAAAGCACAGTTCATCCCCTCGGGCAGGGAGTGTTTGACTTTGAGTCAGCTCCCTGCCGTGTGAAGGGTACACTTACCCACGGGTCCAGACACCGCGCGCAACGGGAGCCTGAACACCGTGCCCCGACTCCCGCACCAGCCGGGTCGCACTCCTGTGCGCCCCGCGTTGGTCAGTGCCCGGCGACCCCCTCCCTGATCCTCCCAGACCCTTCCGTACATTGGCCACACCTACCCTTCCCAGCAGGGATCGTGGTGGCCTTGCGGGTGGGCGGGCAGGCGCCAGCCGCGACGCCCCGACCCCTCATCCTTCACCTTGACAGAACTGGCTCACCCACACAGGACTGGGGGTTTGGAGTGCATTTATTTTTTTAAACCTTTTTTTTTCAGCAGACCACATCCCCGCCCCCAGCTCGCGGTCCCCCGCCCCCTCGCTCATATCCCCTGCACACGCGCGCGCGCGCACACACACGCACACATACACACACACACACACGCACACACACACACACACACACACACGGCGCGCATAGACACACGCTCCCTCCCTCCGGGCTCCACTCCACGCCGCCAGCCGCGCACGCAGCCGGCCTCGGCTCCCCGCGCCCCGAGCCCGCCGCCGAGCGAAGCCGGGCTGGGCTCCGAGGTGCTCATGGAGAAAGTGCCGGGCGAGATGGAGATCGAGCGCAGGGAGCGGAGCGAGGAGCTGTCCGAGGCGGACAGGAAGGCGGTGCAGGCTACGTGGGCCCGGCTGTATGCCAACTGCGAGGACGTGGGGGTGGCCATCCTGGTGAGGTAGGTGTCGTCCGGGCCGGGCCGGGCCCAGACAGGGAGAGCGGCAGTGGCTCCTGGCACAGGCGGGCTCGACCCCGCGACCCGGGTCCGAGCTCCAGGGCCACCTCCCCGGCTGCTGCGACTGGAGACCGCGGGCGTCTCGGGGTGATGGAAACCTTGGCTAATTCCTTCCTGGCTCCGGGGCGCGGGGCTCACCAGGAACTAGGAGCCAGAAACAGGAGAGTACTAGAGTCTCCTTCCTCGCCCTGAACTTGCTCAGCCGGGTCTGTTTTTCCCCATGGGTGACCCCAGCCACCCAACTGAGACGTTTGCACAGGCATTTGACCAGACCCTCAGAGGGAGCAGTAGGCACTCCCCCATTTTAGAGATGGGGAAAACTGAGGCTCAGTCAAGAAGGGGGCCAAAGGGGAGCAGAATCCCCTGTCCAGCTCAGCCCCTTGGGGAAACAGAGCAAAGCACAGGCTAGCAGATGCAGAGTCCCAACTGCCCAGCTGCTTCTCTCATCTCCCCAAGAGTAAGACCAGCTGCAAGTGAGACACAGGTTCCTAGGATGTAATCCCAGATGAGCTTTATGGGGGGGGTGACTTTCAGGAGATGGCCCCACCCTGGAACCCCCGCCCCCAGCCAGGGGTGCAGTGTCTGGCTCAAATGTCCCTGAGGACCCCCACCCAGAGTGGCACTGTAGTCACGCACCTGCACACTGGTTTCCCAGATACCATTCTTATAAAAGTGATGTTCCCAGGCCATCAAGCTGGAGTCTGACTCCAGCTACAAATCAAATCTAGACTCTTTCCACACACACTGGACCCAGGGGTGCAGGCCGAGAGCAACCACACTCAGCCCCTCACTCTTGGCAGGGGGAGGTTGTCAAATCTAGGGCAGAGCAGAGGAGCCTTGCTACATGAAGGCAGGGTGAAACTGCATCATGGAAGGACAGCTGTGGTGCCCGTTTCCCAGCCCCGGCCCCCTCTCGGCCCCCTCTCCCAGCTTTCCTCTGCTTCTCTCCGTCCTCTGCCTCCCCCAAGCCTGGGACCTACCCAGCCTATATTGATACGCCTGGATTCCAACTCAGAAATAGACTTCGGAGGAAAAGAGCAAGAGGCACTTGGGAGGAGCTAGGAGAGGGAGGGGAAGGGGCAACTATGTCAGAGTTCTCAGGCCCAGAAACCCAGCCTGGGGTGGCAAGAAGTGAGAAGAGGGGACTATGGATCCTGAAGCCAAAGACACTCGGGAGTCGCAGACTGGCAGTGTGGGCACCCACACAAGTGCACAGTGGGGAGTAGAGCCGCAGATGTGCCGGTCTGCATCCCCGGAGGGTTGCTCTCCTGTGGCACCCGGAGCACACAGTGCTCACGTGGGTCACCAAGAGAAAGCAAGGCAGGGACCACAGGACCAGAAGATTTTCTGTGCAGGCCTTGCTATTTACCAGTGATGGGGGGGGCGGTTTGACAGGATATGACAGGCCTCATTCTGGATCCTGTGAGCTCTTTCTTATTCAGTACACCCCCTAACACCCAAGGGACTGGGCCTGGCTGGTGGAGATAAGCTCAGTGCTCAAAGGCCCATAGTAAATCTGAGAAGTCCCGAGGTGGTAATCAGATCTGGATTGCTGATCTCGCCAACCCCTCGTTCCACTTGACTCTAGCCTGACAACCTGGGCTAACACTGTCTCAGCCAGCTCCAGGTGCCACTGACTTCCTCTGTTGCTGTTTACCCCAGGCCTGGCCAGCAGAAAGGGAACAAGGCCAAGACCTCTCCTTCTCACAGCTTCCCAGATCCTGGTCACAACTCCACGTTTTTCCATGCCCAACATGCACATCCACAGGTCCAGGCCCTCTGATCACTCCTCCCACTGCTCACTCAGCCTGTAGGACAAGGAGAAGACCAGCTACTCAAAGTTCCTGGCAGAGAAGGTGGAGGAGGAGGAAACTCTGCCTTAGGGTCTGAGGCAGACCCCACACTTCCTTCCACTCCCTGCCAGAGAGGAGCCTGAGAAGGGAACACCACCCTCCCTCCTGGTTGTAACGCTGACACCTTCCCCCTCACATTCAGACAAGCCTATTTCAGGCTCTTGGAAGCCCAGATGCCTCTGGGAGCTGAGAAACTCCCCAAGACTAGCTGCCGAGGCTTCTCCCCAGCAGCTCAGGTCAACCTGGGAGTCTCAGGAGGAAACATGGGCTGGGGGAAAAGTCAAGGTGACAACAGGCGCCCTGACACTCTGCCCCTGGGAAGGCCCTTCCTCAAGGCCGCACGCTGCACTGGGTGTTGAGGCAGGAGACTCACCCTGGGTTTAGGCCCAGTCCCTGCCCAGCCTGATTCATTCCTGATGCTGGTCCATAAGCTGGGGAGTAAAACAGCACTCAGATAGTCAAGTGCTCAATACACGGCCCCTGTGATGTCCTTGGAGGGAGACAGACTCCATACCTGTTTATCTGGAGCAACTAGATACAACCAGGCAGGTGTTGCAAAGGCTAACACACTGGCCCCTAGAATGCTTATTTAAATCCAGACTGGCCTTTTTCCATTTGTCCCTCAATCCAAAGCTTCTCCAGAGAAGTCCGGTGTGTTTTCAAGTCCACTGCTGCCTCGGTCCACACCCATGCATCTCTGAAGGAGCCAACTGGAGAGCCTCTCTCAAACTCCTACAGATAAGAGGGTCGTGAATGCTTGCCCAACGTCACACCCAGCATCCAAGAGGATCCCTCCCCTCCCCAGCTCCACATGGATGGTGCCCTGGCCACTGTCGGAATCTTCCCTCCTGAAAGGCTGGCTGGCCAGATGCTCTGCGTCTAGCTCCCTCACATCAGAGACTTGAGCCCTGGCCGCAAGCCAGCTCAGCAAATCAGAGCTCTCTGATCCCTCAGGGGACAGACAGAGGGACGATGACACCTAAAGACACAGATCATGGCACTCCACACGCTTTCTGAAGACCCAGTCAATGATATATGTTCTGTCTGAGACCCGCCTTTTGTCTCATATGACATCCAATCCCAGCAAGGGGACCCCTGGGCCAGGATGATGGGTCAAAGTGTTTATGAGACCTACTGTCTGCTTATGGTTTGAGGTCTGGGTCTGACAGGCTGAAAAGGTGACAGAAAAGACTACCCAAGTGGCACTAATAGCCATGAGGGGACAGCAGTGGCCTTGGGTCAGCCTGGGCAAGCAGGGAGGGTCACATCTACTATGGGGAATGCGTCAGGCTTTCCACTATGTGAAAAGGAAGGTTGGCCAATGGTAAATATGCAGCCACTGGGCTGGAACAGAGATGACTCAAGGGTAGGGGCCAGTGTAGACATGGTACTGGAGAAGTGGGCAGGGGACAGTTTATAAGAAGTCTGGAATAGCCAGTTAAGGAGTTTTGATTTTGGTATACACTAGGAAGCCAATGAGTGTTCATGAGCATGAGAGTAACATAATAAAATCAAGTTGAGGGCATTAGACAAGTTCAGATAAACTAGAGCAGGGAAAGGTAGAGCTAGGAAGGCCCAAAGTCCGCTTTCAGAGGTTCAGGTAGAGCTAGGAAGGCCCAAAGTCCGCTTTCAGAGGTTTCAGGCTCACCGAGAAGGTAAGGCTCCTGAAAGAAGTAATTACAAACCACACATGCAGGTAAAATCAATGGTTGCTTAAATTAAATCAACAGGTCAGCACTGACTGCCAGGTATCAAGGAAGGAAGGGACTGAGCTGGACGGAGAAAGACTTGTCTCGTTTCTTCTCTTCCCTGGCTGAGTGACCATAGCTAGGTCATCTTGGCCTTAGTTCACAAGGAGAGCTCTGTCTTCTAAGAATGCAGTTTCTCTTAATCATCACAACAAATCATGGGATAGCAATGGCGAACCCTGTTTTATGGATGAGAAATCTGATTCTTAGAAAAGATAAATGAAAAGTTGCTCAGGGAGTTAATCCCCAGTGCCTAAAAGACACTTTAAGAAGCTGGGTGCTATGCAGGTATGGAGGTGCGTGCCTGTAGCGCCAGCACTCGAGAAACAAAGGCAATAGGATTGCTGTGGGTTCAAAGCCAAGAGTTCCAGGCCAGCTAGGGTTGCTTAGCAAGACCTTGTCTCAAAAAAGGAGGAAAATGAGGAGGAGGAGGGGGAGGAGGAGGAGGAAGGGGGGGAAGAGGAGAGGGAAGAGGAGGAGGAGGGGGGGGGGGTGGAGGGGGAAGGGGGGGGAGGAGGAGGAAGAGGGAGGGGGGGCGGAGGACGAGGAGGAGGAGGAGGGGGGGGGGGTGGAGGGGGAAGGGGGGGGAGGAGGAGGAAGAGGGAGGGGGGGCGGAGGACGAGGAGGAGGAGGAGGGGGGGGGGGTGGAGGGGGAAGGGGGGGGAGGAGGAGGAAGAGGGAGGGGGGGCGGAGGACGAGGAGGAGGAGGAGGGGGGGGGGGTGGAGGGGGAAGGGGGGGGAGGAGGAGGAAGAGGGAGGGGGGGCGGAGGACGAGGAGGAGGAGGAGGGGGGGGGGGTGGAGGGGGAAGGGGGGGGAGGAGGAGGAAGAGGGAGGGGGGGCGGAGGACGAGGAGGAGGAGGAGGGGGGGGGGGTGGAGGGGGAAGGGGGGGGAGGAGGAGGAAGGGGAGGAGGAGGAAGAGGAGGAAGAAGAAGAGGAGGAGGAGGAAGAGAGGAGGGTACAGTGGTACATACCTGTTGTCCCAGCTACTTGGGAGGCTGAGGCAGGGTTGCTGGAGCCCAAGAGTTCAAGGCCAGTTTGGGCAACATTAAAAAAAATGTTCAGGCCAGGCATGGTAGTATGCACCTTAAATTCCAGCACTCAGGAGGCAGAAGCAGGCCATTCTCTGTGAGTTCCAGGCCAGCCAGAGCTACATATTGAGACTCTGTTTCAAAAAATAAAGAACACTAAACTTAAAGTTGAATGATTCTAGAACCTGGGCTCCTGCTTTCTCAGTGCCTGGAGCCTCAATGGGGTATAGGCTCCCCAAGTCAAGAAGGAGGCTGCCAACCAGAGCAAGCCCAGCAGGTGGCCCCGGGCAGGGGCAGGCAGCGGCCAGAAGAGTAACTGAAGGGCTGTTCTGTGTGGGAGTGAGAGTCATTACAAGTGTGGGAGGGCCTGCACCCCTCCTAGCCGCTCCAAGGGGGCTTGGAGACAGCCCCCTGCTTCAGCACCCATCCCTTATTTCCCACCAGGTTCTTTGTGAACTTCCCATCAGCCAAGCAGTACTTCAGCCAGTTCAAACACATGGAGGAGCCCCTGGAAATGGAGCGGAGCCCCCAGCTGCGGAAGCACGCCTGCCGGGTTATGGGAGCCCTCAACACTGTTGTGGAGAACCTGCATGACCCCGACAAGGTGTCCTCTGTGTTGTCCCTTGTCGGCAAGGCCCACGCCCTCAAGCACAAAGTGGAGCCTGTGTACTTCAAGGTAGGTCGGATTGCTGGATCAGTGCGCGGCCCTCCACACCGTTCTTTTCCAGAGCCCCCAAGCCCATGGGCCACAACAGCTCCCTGCAGCCTGTGGCTCTAGGAGCGCTCCCTGGGCAGCAAAGATGGCCACTGTCAGCCCCTGGATTGGCTGGACAGGAAGAGCGGCATGGCAGCAGGATAGAGGGGTGGGTCCAAGGCACCCCTTCTCTTGAGAGTATGGGCTCCCATAGTTACCATGCCAGTAGGTTGTAAAGATCCCCCAGGCCAGTACAGGTCAGCAGGGGTCCCGGGGGCCGTGGGAAGCAGGGTGCCCAGGCGTTTATTCCTCCTTCCCTCCTTTGCCCCCAGATCCTCTCTGGGGTCATCCTGGAGGTGATCGCCGAGGAGTTTGCCAATGACTTCCCACCCGAGACGCAGAGAGCCTGGGCCAAGCTGCGTGGCCTCATCTACAGCCACGTGACCGCTGCCTACAAGGAAGTGGGCTGGGTACAGCAGGTCCCCAACACCACCACGTGAGGAGGGGGTGAGGGTGGGCTGGGCAGCCTCTCTGCTGTGTCTCCCCCTGTCCCCCAGGTTTCCTATCACTCCTGGGACCAGGGGCTGACTGCTGTGGCAGGAATTCTTTGGGCATGCAGACATAGGACTCTGTCACGTTTAAAAACAGGCACAGCACAGAAGGGCCTGTGTGATAGCGCCCCTCTGACTGCAGGCCAGCTCCTGGTTCTTGGCTGTACAGAGCTGTGAACCCCGAGCAGATTCTTTGGGGCAGAGCATCTCTAAAGCAGGGGGCATTCAGAGCACCGAAGGCCATGGTGCTGACCCTGCACAGATGCAATGGCCTCGTGGAGGGAAGGTCCCCTCCTTAGGCTCAGAGCAGCCCAGGCCAGCTCCACCCCTTCCTCCCTGGGTACCAATCCCATAGGACTGTTTTTCCTCTCATGCTGACTAGTGCTCCCATTTACCTCCTGCCTCAACAGGCCTGGAGCCAGGAGACTCACGAGGACACGCACACATTCCCAGGCCCACAAGGGACCTACATGGGTGTCACTCATATGGATAGTACCAGGAGATGTTTACTTCCATTCTGACCAGAGGCCAGATCCTGGTTCTAGGCTCCAAGAGGGTGGCCGGCCTCAGTGATTCCTGCTGGCTAGGAGGAGTGGCGGCTGGGAACGCTCAGGCCTTCCCTAGACCTCCAAGAAGCAGCTGATTCTAGGAGCTGAATGGAAGGGCAGAAGCAGGGCTGGAGTAGGAAGGAGTGGAGCAGAGGCGGGAATAAGAATCAAGGGTCAGCCAGCGGCTTGGGACACGTGTTGTAGAGAAACATTCCCAGCAGTTTCCCATGGAAAAGGCAACATCTCCTCAGACTCTTCCAAGGCCCTGGTGCCACCTCCTGTTCACAGGCCTCCCCACCAGGCTCTGTGGAGGAGGTCCCCAAGGGCAGGGAGAGGCCAGACCTGCTGCCCTTCCGGCTGCTGACCAACCAGTCAAATTGTGCCCCCGCCACTACCCCATCAGAAGCTCCCCAGGAGAACAGAGTTCTCAGAAACCACTAGCTGTAGCCAGACCAACTCCAGATGTACACAGCTGGACCTGGCCTGACCCGGACCCTGGAGTGAATGAGAGGCAAGATTTTTAGCTACCAGAGGAGGGCATTGGCTGAGCTGGAAAACCCCCTCCTCCAGCCGTCACCCAGAAGGATCAGGGAGGAGACTGTGGAGAGGGCAGACAGGGGAGGGGCTCACCTTCCCTCCCACTCCCCTCCCCAGGCTGGCTGTGCCTCTTGCCGCCCAAGATGACTTTGTTTACAGACATGAGACAAGACTTCCTGCTTTTTGAGAAAAGAGCTTTTTACAGGAGCCTAGAGGGACCGCAAGGAAAGCTGGCCAGCAAGCCCCAGTAAATCAGAAACACATGGCCAGAGCCCCACCCACCCCCTTCTGCCCCAGTTAGAGCCCAGGGACTTAGCTCTAGCCAAACCCCAAACATTAGGAAACTGCCAAAATGTATTCTGCCCCTTTCTGCCCTTTGTAGATGAATAAAGACAGGTAATGCAGGGAATGGACAGGCCAAGGCCCAACTGTCTCCACCTGAGCCTGAGCACCCAAGCTGGGCTTCCCCCAGGTGTCATGTATGGGATTGCCCCCTCAATTCCTTGACCCTCTTTATCTCCATCCCTGGTCTCCTGGGGGCTTGGGTGTAGGCCCTCAAGAAGGCACATCTGCCTGGACCAGGGCCTGAAGATTCAACCTGTTGCCAGGTCCCCTTCAGCGCCCAGGGTGGGGATGGAGTTTCAGAGCTGACTTCTAGAAGGCCCTTGTCCAACTTCTCTTATCAGGGAAACACAGTGGGCCAGACTCTTCTGTTTATTGGACTGTCTCTGCGTCAGCGTGTGTGGGTGGAGGGCTTCTGGGGCAAGGGGATGTGGTGAAAAGGATGTAAGCAAAAAAGAGTTGTGTGGATGGAGACACTGCATGGAGGCCAGAGGGACTGGCCAGGCCAAACAATATATTCCATTTCAGAATGAATGGAAAGTGCGTGGTATCTTGCAGTTCGTGGATGCTTGGGGCAGGCAAAGCAGAAGCCGGGCGGCAGCGTTTTAGAGGGACAGATCGTGGGCTAACAGACTAGTTTGAGGTCACACAATAGGTTGGAGACAGTGCAAGATTACATCCCATGTTGAGTCTCTCAGCAGAAAGTGTCCCACCTCATGACTGACCCCCAGGCCCTTCTCCCAGTGCCCTGGGTACCCTGTCTTTCTGACCCCTGTAACCTTTTCCTTCATCTCCTATCTCATTCACAGCCCACCGGCCACGCTGCCCTCTTCGGGGCCATAGGACCCCTCCCAGCTCCCCCCTCCCTGGCAGCACTCTGAGCAGAAGGCTGAGTTTTGAAGACCCTCCTTGACCTTCCATTTCTGGGTGCCAAGGAAGCTGGAGGAATCCCCGACTTGACTTCCCCAAAAGGAGGCCTTTGCTGCGGCCGCAGTCCCCTGAGCTGCTGGGAGGCAGTGCTGGCTGTCTGGATGCTGACCCCAGCACAGGAGGGTGGGCAGAGACCCTTCTGCGTCACGGGGGAGGAGGGCGCCCGCTCTTCTTAGCTTTTCTATTCGCTGTTAGAGAAGGGGCCAAGCGCAAGTGGCTAGCAGGAAGCAGTCACTTCAGAAGGAACTAACCCAGCTTCATTCTGCTGACCAGCATGCAGGTTCACCTCACATCTCTAGAGTATCACACACGTCTACCATATATACAGATATATTCTATATACAAGCTATATAAAAATATATACATATATACGTACATATCTATCATGTGTACCTACGAACCCAGAAACCTCGGTCTTGCCCAGCTGTGGAGGGCTGGAAGGGATCCTGGTCATGCTTCTGGGCAGACAGCTGTATGGGAAACAGGAGAAAGTCCTACATCAGCACAGAGGAGGGGCAGGTTAGAGAGTTGGGGTGACCCAACTTGCCAGAACGGCCCAGCCCACTCTGATCAGCTCTCCCACTTCTTGATTCTTAGAGTTGTTTAAAAAAAAAATCTAGCTTGCCACATGTGGTGGTATACATCTGTAATGCCAGCACTCAGGAGGCAGAGGCAGGAGGATCACTGTAAGTTTGAGGCCAGCCTGGTCTACATAGCAAATTCCAGGCTAGCCAGGGCTGAATGGAGAGACCCTGTTTCAAACAAAGCAAACAAACCCAAAAGATCTGGCTCCCCCGCCCTCCCCCAAGAGGGTTTGGCTGACTGACTTGTCCTAGAAAGGCAACAGCCAGGGTAAATGAGGGCTCAGAAAAATCCCAACAGGATGGCCACCAGGGGGCGAGGCCTCAGTAAACAGCCCTGGAATGCCAACCTGCCCACTTCAACTAGCAGCATGGCAAGCGGACCAGGGGCCACAGTCTTACTCCTTAGCTGAAACCCAGGACCTCCCACTCCTGCCCTCCATCTGGCCACCAGTCAGTCCTCTTCATCTATCCTATCAACCTCACTGGGGACCCCCGTGTGTGCCCCTTGGTCACATGTATCGTCCTAGAGGATGTCTTGCTGCTGTGGCTCCTGTGCCTGAATCTGCTCCCGTCCCACCCTCGTGCAGCCTCCCTGTTACCGCCCGACCTTTTGTAGTTTCTGATGTCCGTAACCAGACCCAGCTGTGTCATTAAACTGACTGTTCTTCCTGTATCTGGCACTCTTGTCTTTTCCTGTGACCTGCCTTCACCTCTGTCTCCCCTCTGTAACATTTCCATGTTGAAAACTGCTCCATCCAGGGTACCTCTTCCCCTGTACTGGTCTTATCTGGTTATGGGATACTCTCTAAACTGGGACTGTAGACTGTTCGGTGGCCTAGTAGGAAACTAGAAGTCAGGTTTTATGGAAGCAAGGGCTGTGTTTATCCTTATTAAAAATTCAAGAGAGCTGGACCTGGTGGCATAGATCTGTTATCCTAACTACTAGGGAGGTTGAGACAGGAGAATTGCAAGTTCCAGGGCTGCCTGGGTAACAGAGCAAGTTCAAGGCCAGCCTGGACAACTTAGGAAGACCTTCTCTCAAAATGAAAAATAAAGAGGGCTGGGGATAGCTAAGTCATAGAGCACTTACCTAACATTCATAAGACTCTATAAAAGAAAAAGGAAAGAAAAAAAAAGTAATAGGCTTTTTGTATTTTGTTCTGGAAGTTTCCTGGCAAGGCCTAGGTGAATAAGGAATCAAGAGGGTTACTGTCAAAGCTGTTTTTAGTAGCACACACCTGGAATCCCAGCACTCAGCAAGCTGAGGTAGGAAGGTTACAAACTGGAGGCCAGCCTGGGCTACATGGTGAGACCCTGCTTTAAAAAATTAATTAATTGCCGGGCATGGTGGTGTACCCCTTTAATCCCAGCACTCGGGAGGCAGAGGCAGGCAGATCTCTGTGAGTTCGAGGCCAGCCTGGTCTCCATAGCAAATCCAGGCCAGCTGGGGCTACAGGGAGACCCTGTCTCAAAAAGAACAATAAAAAAATTAATTAATTAAGGCCAGGCATGGTGGCACACACCTTTAATCTCAGCACTTGGGAGGCAGAGGCAGGCGGATCTTTGTGAGTTCGAGACCAGCCTGGTCTACATAGTGAGTTCCAGAACAGCTGGGCCTACAGGGAGACCCTGTCTCAAAAAAAAAAAAAAAAAAAAAAAAGGTAATTAATTAAAATTAAAAGATGGGGTATCGGAGGGGCCCTGTTTGAGTGTACTAATCATTCATACAATGATTAAACTTTGAGCTTCTAGACCCAAACAAGACCTTCTACAAAAGATGCTGAATACAGACCTGCTGCTCCAAGGACACACAGTGCATCAGCCTCTGGGTACTAGAGAAAGGGAGTCTGCTAGAATCAGCCTTCATCCCTGAGCTATCAGCTCCAGACCCCCTTCCCAAGCCCGCTAAGCCAGGCTTGTCCATCCCCCACCCAGATGTGACAGCCGCAACAGTCAACAGCATCAAGTCCCCCAAGGGGGGACCAGAAGGTCACTGCAGGGAGGGGGGATGCAGGAGAAGCAGGAAACAGCTTCTGCCCCTTGGGAGGGCTGCCTGGGAGACTCAGCTGACACACAGGAAAAAGTCTTGTCTCCTGTGAACTTAAATGTAGGCCGGTGGTGCCTTCATCTCCTAGGCCTGGCACAGTGAAATACTCGCTGGAAAAACCAAAGAATAAATAAATACCACTCTTAGAAAGACAAGTACATGGGCCAAGAGTGAATGTGAACTGAAGTGGGGCGGGGGGTTCAGGGTGTTGGGAGGACAGTGCAGGCCACGCCTTCCCAGGGAGGGAGTGTGTCAGACGGGCAGCCTCCAGCCTAACACTTAGTGCTGCTGTGTGACTCTGGGCAAAGCATCCACCCTTTCAGAGCCACAGTCACCTCCAATTTCAAATGTAAAGCCTGCTGCACTTGGAAGACTAAGAAAAGAGGACCAGGAGGAAGAGCATCGCTGGGCACAGGAAAGATGCTCAGAACAGGCTGAGTTGCTGAGATAGGAATCCTGCAAGAGGGGAGGTTGGAGTGGGAGGGAGAAGGAGTGAGATGAACCAGGGAAGCAAGAAGAGGCATGAGAAGCAGCCCTGGGCCTGGGAGAGGTTCTGGGCCTCAGGGCCCCAGGGGGACCAAGCTCAGCCAGAGCTGGTTGGCGGGAGGAGAGGGGACCTCTGAGTTCATGGGAGTGGTAGTGTCTGGGGAGACACCCCCTCCCAGTGGTGTTGAGAATCATAAGGGTCCTCTGAACTGTTGGAAACTAGAACCATCCTGAAATGGGTCCTTGAGAAAGACTCTTCCCACTGTTCATCTCCTACACAAGTCAAGGGCCAATGCCCTTTACCCACTAGGGCTGCCAGAGGAACAGGACGGGATGCTGATGACACCCTTGGGGTTTTGTTCTATGCTTCACACTAGTCAGCGTTCTTGTTGAAAAGCTGAGCAACTGGGTCAGCTCTCCCTGGTGAGCTCAAGCTGAGAGCCCTGGGGTGTTGGGAATGGGGTGGGGGGTTAGGAGAATGCGGTCTTCCCTAACAAAGAGGACAGCATAGTAGCCCCACAGTGACCCCTGATGCCTGCAAAGGGAACTTCACCCAAGAAAGCAATCCTCCTTAGTTTGCTCTCTTGGGGGGGGGGGGGGCAGCCTTATTGGAGCCTGAGCAAAAAAGAAAAACAGAGTTGAGGAAATAGTCTCCTGTAGTTTGAGCCAAATGAAAAGGTTAATAAGTGTATTTTAAACACGAATATCTATAATCCCAGCATTTGGGAGACTGAGACAGAATTCTAAGTTTAAGGCCAACCTGGGTTTCACAATGACTTCCAAGGCAGCCTAGGACACATAGGGAAACCTCATCTCAAAAAGAAAGAAAGGAGAACGGGGAGGAGATAGCCTTGCAAGCACAGGAATGTGAGTTCAGGTAAAAAGCAGGGTATGGTGGTGTGAGCTTGAAATCCCAACACTGTGAAGGCAAAGACAGGTGGATCCCTGGGATTTCTGGCCCAGGGCCACATTGGAAGACCCTGTCTCAAAGTACAAGTGGACTGCTACTGAGGGTTAGCACCTGAGGTTGACCTGTGTCCCGTACATGTATGCACACAGAAGGGGGGGGGAAGGGGGGGGGGTGGGAGGGAGGGAAGGGCTGGAGAGATGGCTCAGAGGTTAAGAGCACTGACTGCTCTTGCAGAGGGCCTGAGTTTGATTCCCAGCACCCACACGGCGGCTCACAACCATCTGTAACTCCAGTTCCAGGGGATCAAAACACCTCCTCTGGCCTTCTCGGGTATTACATGACCCGGGTGCATTTACACACATGCAGACAATACACTCATGCACATAAAATAATAAATAATAAAGAAAGAAGGAAGGAGAGAGAGAGATGACGGAAGGAAGGAAGGAAGGAAGGGAGGGAGGGAGGGAGGGAAGGAAGTTGGGAATGGCAGCCCATGCTTACAATCCCAACATTCAGGAGACTGAGGTACAAGGCTTCCTTTAAGTTCAAGGGCAGCCTGGGCAACAGAGTGAGACCCTATCAGAAGAGCAGGGGAGGGGATGAAAGAAAAGAAGGAAAAGAAAACAAAAGAAAGACATTGAGCCTGAGAGATGCTCAGTGGTTTGGAGCACGTGCTGCTCTTGCAGAGGACCAGAGTTCGGTTCATGGCTCCCTGTTATTAGGGGACTCACAACCACATAACCCTAAATCCAGAGGATTAAATACCTCCAGCTTTCAAGGGCACCTGAACTCACATGAACATATGTACACATAGACACACATATACCTGTAAATAAAAATAAAATAAAAAGGACTAGGTACGGTGGTGCACACCTTTGATCCCAGCACTTGAGAGGCAGAGGCAGGTGGATCTTTATGAGTTTGAGGCCAGCCTGGTCCACATAGAGAGTTCCAGGCCCTGAGACTGGAGCTACAGACAGTTGTTAGCTGCCATGTGGGTGCTGGGATTCAAACCCGGGTCTTCTGCAAGAACAACCAGTGTTCTTAACCGCTGAGCCATCTCTCCAGCCCCTAATATGTTTGTTTTTGTTTTTTTTTTTTTTTTGAGACAGGGTCTCTCTGTAGCCCCAGCTGGCCTGAAACTCACTATGTAGACCAGGCTGGCCTTGAACTCACAGAAATGCGCTTGCCTCTGCCTCCCAAGTGCTGGGACTATAGGCGTGCGCCACCACGCCCAGCAATATCAGTTTTTTAAAGATACTGCATGTAAATATTCTCCTTGATTGCTGCTCCCCTTCAATATTGGCACAGAGTCTCATAGAACACTTTGGGTGAAGGGATTTATCTCAGCAGGGTAGAAATTTGAACAACAGTATTTCATTGGAGCTGGGAACATCAAATCAGGAGCTTTGGTTGATTGGAGGAGGCCCTCAGGCTCTTCCACCATGGAAACCCCAGACCCAGCACCCAACGCTTCCCTGGTCCCCCTTGGCCAACCCCACTGGAGTCACCATCTTTCATACTGTCTTCAGTATCTGCTTTCTTCCAACCACAAGGCAACATGGCCAGTCTCCCCGTCTATGGAAACGGTACTGTTTCTGCCAGGCTGTTCTGCCTCTGCTTTCCAGAACCTTCCTTTATAGTTCTCCTGTAGAAGGTGCTTTCTTTGGGTGCTACAATCACCTGCCTAGAGAGCACTCCGGTGCATCTCACCTCCACCCTTGATCTTTATACATCACTTGGTACTCAGGGCTTACTACTCGAAGGCCCTGGGGCCAGGCTCCCTAACAAATGGGGGAGAAGATCAAGGCTTGGACCAAGGGCAGCAACAGAGATGGCAAGAGGCAGCTAATCCAAGGCTGATTTTTTTTTTTTGAGACAGGTTCTCACTATGTAGCCCAGGATGACCTTGAACTCATGATCCTTCTCCCTCAATCCCTGGAATACTAAGCTTATATATGCACACTACCACCCCCAGATGCAAGATTGATTTTTTTTTTTTTTTGAGGCAGGGTCTCATTATGAAGCCCAGGCTGGCCTTGAACTCACATGCCTGTCTCTCAAGTGCTGGGATTAAAGGCATACACCACCTTGCCTGGCATTGTAAGACTGAATTTTGAAGGTGATCAAATGTAACTGCCCGATAGATGGGATGGGGAGGGGGCGAGAGGCAATGGATGCAGTCACTCCAGGGTCACTTGTCCAGGGGGACTAGTCAACAAGACAAGAT